CTGGGTTGCGAAGCTGCCCGCGGCCTCTGCGGCGCCGGTTCGATCCCCGGCTGCTCCCCGGCCACCGGAGGAGGGTCCCGCATGGCGCGCAGACCTCTCCTGCCGCCCGCTGCTCCCCTCAGCAGTGTACTTCGGTCCTTCTGCCTGCTCTGCTCCCCGCTCTGGCTCTGGTGAATTCTCTCACCCTCCCGCGCTTCTGACTGTACCCAGTGCTTGTATAAACAAAACAAACAAATAAATAAATAAAAAAACAAAACAAAACAAAAAAAATAACTTTGACAGAAGCAACACCCAGTAGACTTTTGACTGCTGTCACTGGGTTACATGTCTAACCCTAGCTGCAAGGGAACCTGGGGAGGTGAGCATTTTTTTAATCAGCTTTTACTTCATATGCAACAAATATATCAATAACAATTATATCAAGTACATTATAAACTATAATATATTACACACTAATATCAGTACCTTGATTATCATTACATTAACTATATTTTACATGTTGGTATATAAAATTTTAATATATTTGCCCATTTGTTAATCTGGACTTTGTTTTCTAACAACCCACCAGGTTGTTAGACGTCTTTATGAATTCTGTGTAGAAGTTCTTCATTATATATGTGACTTACAAATAATTTCTCCTAATCTCTTACCTGCTGTTTAATTTTTTAAATCTTTAAAGAATTTTAATTTTTGATGAAATTAAATTTTTTTGTGTCTTATATCACAAAATCTTTGCCTAACCCAATGTTGCTAAGATTTTCTCTTATGCTTTCTTCTGGATGTTTTGTAGATTGAGCTCTTACCTTTAGGTTTATGATCCACTTTGAGTTAACTTTTGTATATGATGTGTAAGGAGTGAGTTTTATATGTTTGTTTTTGCATGTGGATGTTTAGTTGTTCTAGCATAGTTCATTGAAGATTGTTTTTTTCCCATTCAATTACTTTGGTACTTTTGTTGAAAATGAGTTGACCGTATAAGTGTAGTTCTATTTCTGTACTTACTTTTCCCCATCCATCTATATTCTATCCTCTTTCTAGTATCACACTGTAATAAGTTTGAAATTAGTTAACATGAGCTCACCAACTTTTTCCATCGTAGTTGTTTTGACTATTCTAAGTCTTCTGTATTTCTATGTAAATTTTATAATCAGCTAGTCAATTTATATTTTAAAAAAGTCTGCTGGGACTTTGATTGACATTGTGTTGAATCTCTAGATCAAATGTGAGAAGTAACACAGCAATAGATTATTTTCTGGCCCATGAACATATCTCCCTTTATTTGAGTTGTCCTTTAAGATTTCTTGTGGTCTTTTTCTTTTAGTTTTCATGTAGAGATATTGCATAAATTTTATAAAATGTAATTATGTATTTTTGATGCTATTACAATGGCATCTTTTTTTTTTTAAAGATTTATTTATTTTATTTATACAAGCACTGGGGTACAGTCAGAAGCGTGGGAGGGTGAGAGAATTCACCAGAGCCAGAGCGGGGAGCAGAACAGGCAGAAGGACCAAAGTACACTGCTGAGGGGAGCAGCGGGTGGCAGGAGAGGTCTGCGCGCCATGTGGGACCCTCGCCCGGCGGCCAGGGATCGAACGGCTGCTGCAGAAGCTGCAGGCAGCTTCGCAACCCAGTGATCAACCGCTGCACCACCGGGGAGGCCCATATTACAATGGCATCTTAATTTCAAGTTCCAGTTGTGAATTGCTAGAATATAGAAGTACAGTTGGTTTTTATATATTAAAATCCTGTTTCTTGTGACTTTGTTTAATTTGCTTAAGTCCTCATAGCTTTATTATATATTCCTTAGGATTTTTATGTCTTTTGGATGAAGATGGTTTTAGTTATTGTTTTCCAAATTTTACACCTTTACTTATTTTTCTTGCTTTATTGCTCTGGCTGGAATCTGCAGTACAATGTTTGAATAGAAGTGATAATAACAGACAGCCTTATCCTCTTTCTCATCTTAAGGGGAAGCATTGATTTTTTTTTTTATTATGATGTTAATGGAGGTTTTGTTTGTAGATCTTCTATAGGAAGGTAAGCATTTGTAACCAGCTATAGAGCTGCCCAGAGGTTTTTGAGGATTTTCTAGAAAAGAGGGTGGAGTGAATATGGGCATCCAGTAAAAGGAAGGCCAGCAGGGACTTCTTTATGAGTTCAACTGTGTCTTAACTATGTGATGATTTATTAGGCAATTAGCATGTATTTCCCTTAGAGGCTTTCAGTATGGGGTGTGGCTTACATTAAACATGGCTATGTCTGACAATACGTTTTTATAAACAGTATATTTGGGAGGGGCCGACGTTGCCATAGAACTAACTCTGCATCAGTCCATTGGGAGGCAGTGTAGCCTGTGGTTAGGAACATAGGCTCAGAAACTTGGGTGCCCAATCCAAACCCAGATCTGTAACCACAAGCAGGTTTCTCAACCTTTTTTGTCACAATTTTCCACCTGTACGATGAAGATAGCAAATGGTATCAAAATACCTACCTCCAGGGCTTCTGAAGACTAAATGAGCTAGTGTATAAAGGGCTCAAAACAATGTTGATTATCTGATGTATTTTAAGAAGGATTTAGTTTGTGTTTAGCTAATTTATCACAACCTTTGCATAGCAAGTTTACTGTGTAAAGAAGTATACAATTAAAAAAAGAAATCCTCTTTCCTGATGGCTTGTGTTAAAGTTTTGTGAAGGTGGAAGAGTCAGATGTTTGATTTCTGCTATTTACAACATTGTGTAATAAATTTTTTAAATGCTGCGCATTTGCATAGGCAATTATCAGCAGGGTGACAATTGTGGGCAGTGGTGTTCTGGAGTTAGTACTGAGTATATCCTGGAAAGTCAAACCTGAGTTGGACTTTCTGATCTGTTCATTTTGATCATTTGAAGTGTGAACCCACAAACTGCACCTGGGCTACCCCACCTAGGCACATGGACCACTGTGTATCTCCCAATTGGTTTTCAACTATTAGGTCCTGCCAATAAACTAATTCCTGGGGAAAAGCTTCCTAGTCATTTGCTGTCCTAGATCTCTCCCCACTACAGCTGCCTTTCTTTCTATTAACATGTTCCAAGTCTTGGGTACCATCCTTTTCTGGTGGGTGAAGCATGTCAGCCTTTCTCTCTGGGGAGTGGTGGGTGAGGAGCCACTGACCAGTAGGGACCAGGTTCACTGAGGTGCCCAAGTAGGTCTGCAGCAATGAGGAGCTGGTAGGCAGGCCTTGGAGGGGCTTTCCCCTTAACTTGAACGTGCTTTTTCCCTTTGCCTGAGATGTTTTGAGGTGTGCAGTCACAGCATGTTTTGCAAATGCCCCTCTGCAAAGTTTTTCCTATCGAAAGTCTCTTCTTCAAGTAGGTTCTCTGGCTTTCTTCAGAGCAGACCAGTGGAACACTTACTTTCCACTTTGAGTTTTAAGAACATTTTAAAATCCACTCAGCTGTATTTGGATATAGCTGCATAATATGTTATTGTTTCTTTTTCTTTCCTGTGTAATGTGGGGAACTGCCAGTGCGTATTTAGGGGAGCCTGACCAATAAGCTCCGGCATGAATTTTCCAAAGTTTTTCTCTATAGTATGATGTGGGGAGGAGGAAGTTTCAGAACCTCCTTCCCCAGTTTCAGGGAGTGTTTGGCCATCTCTTGTTCTTCCCTCTGCCAAAGATGTTCTGCAGGCTCTTCCTTGAGAATTGTGTATCTTCACCAAACCTTTCAGCTGTAGCTTTATCACCAATGCAGAGAGAGAGACTGAATCAGGGAGGAGACGGGCATTATCTTCTCCCTCCACTGATACAAGATGCCCCGGTTAGGCGGGTACCCCAAGGCACATGTGACATGGTCCTCCATGCTATGCCTGCTGCCCCAGGTGATGATTCTGAATTATATATGGGGAGAGACTTTTCACAGCACTGTTTTTCCACTGCAGTACAAAGCACTCTGTTACAGTAAGGGTTTTACAAAGCAGGTCCTCGAGGCCCTGCAGGAACCAGGAAGCTGCGGGGAGCAGTTTACCTCCCAACCAGAGTGCTCAGGGTATGAGTCTGAAACAAATGGGAAGCAGATACAGAATCTAACTTTTTATTTGAATGTTATTTCTTTGAACAAAGAAAATTGCTAAAAGTTTAAATATCAAACCATTGGGTTTTTGAAACAAAAAAAAAGGCAAGAAGAAACAAAAGTCAGAAGTGCCAAATTTAACACTTTCTGATCAGATAAGAATCTGCTTTTAGCTCCACCTAAATGACTGTAACGGCTGGCTTCGTGAGGCAGGTCCTTCTCTGCTGAGTATCGTCTTCATCCTCATTTTCTTTCAGTTATATTTCCCTACTGCCTTCTGGCTGAAATCTCAAAGGAAAAGGAAAAAAAGATTCCTTCAATAGAGTGTTTGAAAGACCATCTTTACACAGAGCAGACTCCCAGTAGCCACTTGTTAGATGAATCGATGACAGACATACCTAGAGCGCAGCTTCCACATTCATGTTTATTCCTCACACACATCACATGTGACCACCACCAAATCCCACTTCTGGAGCTGTAACAGGCATTCCAGGAACAATTTGAAAATAAATGGAAGTACCTGACTACGATGCAGAGAAGGAGGATAAGAAGGGGCAGTGATTTTGTTGCCAATTAGATTTAAGCCATTCATTCTGGTATTTAGACTTCTTCAAGCAGTGAGAACCTCATTAAAACAGTCTCACTTAGTGTGCATTTGCTCTCCCTTTCAAAAAGCCTATGACCTCTCAAAAATCAGCAACGGGTATTGGTCACATCTGCTTTGTGTGAGGAATGAACATCAGCTAGACTCCCAGTGTGTTTATGGCATTTCTTCATCCAGTGAATAGCTTCTGCGGTCGCAGAAGCCAACCTACAATATACCCAAACCCTAAAGCATTCAGGTTTTGAAAATGTGCATATTTGCCATTTGTCTGCTTCCTGAGTCCCATCTCCACTCCCTCAGAATATCATCAGCGGTGACTTTTCTTCTTTCCGCTTGACAGGTGATGACCAAGAAGGAGGATTTTTTCAGGGCTTGGAACTCATGTCTTCACCACATTGCCACCCTGTCTCTGGCACACATTCACAGAGGTCAGTGGTTCTTGCTGAATATTCATGACTGAGTGTCTCGGAGTTCTGCAGGTTATCTGGGAATCTGACTCAGCAGAGAGAGGATAGTCCCATGCTAGTCTGAACTCTCTCGTTGAATCTGAAGCCCCCCAGTAACTTAGAGACACTTCAAACTTGCTGTAATTAAAACCCCAACTTATTCGGAACATGGAGCCAGTGAAACCCAATAATCCCAGTGCCGGAACAGCACACCTAACCAGGCACCAGCTGGCAGAGCTCTGGCCCCTTGGCAGTGACCCTCTGCCCAACAGTGGTGGCCATTCCCAATAAACAAACTTGAGGTGTGTACACAGACCACAGGAGAGTATTTTAATAGGATCACTGCCTGAAGAATTTCAGGCACCAGGACTGATTATGGAAACTAGTCATCTCCAATTTAGCAAGAAACTGGTTCTGGTTCCGGCTTTAAAAGCTGTGCTCTCAACTAGAGGCTCCAATCTCTGGTTGTCCTCTAGGGTCATCGGATGATGTTTGAAGACGGTTTTGGTTGTCACCACAGAGCAGGAGCTGCAAGTGGGTAGGGGCTAGGGACACCAGTAAGCCTCCTGCAGTGCACAGGACAACCTCCAAAACAGAGGTGAGAAAACTTGAATGTCAATCCTGGCTTCAGAAGACCAACATCACTTAAAACAAAACATTAAAAAAAGTAACACCAATGTATATATAGGCCAGCATTATTCATGGAATTATTTCTAACCTCAAGAATTTTGAGTTTGCTCATCATCGTGCCCTTCCTCCCTGGAGGGAGGTATTGACAACAAAAGGCACTCAGCCTGCTTCTTTGTGTGTAGAGTTTTCCAACATGTCAGGCTCAACACTGGCTCTGGAGGTGGTCACCACCACAGCCCTGGGGCTTGACCGTAGTCCAGCTGTGTCCTGCCCCGTTGTCTCTCAGGGTGGAATTGCTTGGTGGGCTCTCTTGAGAGTCAAGCTGGCAACCTGGGAGTACTTGCCTCCCACCCATCCTCCCATGCTGCACATCACCTCCCTCCCCAATCAGGCAGTTCCAGGAGAGCAAAGTGGCACATTACTTATTGTTGTGGGAAAACCAGGACCTCCCTCAGAGCTGACAAATGCTGGCTGGGGTGCAGACGAGCATGGCCTTCTACCTCCCTCTTCCAGCCCAGGGGTGCTTGGGTGAGCCTCGTGACACAGGGCTCAAGAGCTAGGACTGGAATGAGAACGTCAGACCACAGCCTCCTCTTGGGATTGGGAGCCCATGAGAGCGCCAGACCTGGGCCAGTCCTTTTTCCCCACCACACCCAGTAACAACCACTTAGCAGTCCAGAAGCTGATTGGTTTCCACCTTCTGCTCCCTGACAGGGGCAGGAGGAACAAGTACAGGGGCCCAGAAGGTGAGGGGAAGTGCCCTCTACACAGGTCATGAGGGGACAGGATTGTGTCCCCTAGTTTGCACAGCCCCACATTTCAATTTGTCTGCACAGCCAGCATGTATGAGGGTTGTGCCAGCAAGACAGGGAAAGTTCTTGATTGATTTGGGAAGACAGGTAAAGGAGTGTCCTGCAGCTCCTCACCAGTTGTTGTGGGTCAGGACCACAGGCTGGCAAGTCAGGGAGGCCAGGGAGCTAGGAGGCGAATCTTTGAGCTTTTTCTCTCTAGCGTTCTCCCATGGTCTCTTCCTCTTGTAGCCATTATTGTCCTCTTGTAGCCTTTCCACCATAGCTGTCACTGAGTAATGCTGCCCCTCTGTCCTCCAGGCCCAGGTATGCACACTTGCATAATTGCACACACACCCATGCTCAGGTGTCCATAATTAGGCACATGTGCCCCACACACCCACTTGCACCTTCTACATTAACCAGATCAAGGCTGCAGGTGATAGCCACAGAGGCCAATGGCCCTCAAAGCCTGATCAGCTTCATTTACCCTACAGTGAAGCTCAGGGGAACTGACTTAGATTAATGAACTCCAAAGTGCTGGATAGACAAACCAGCATGTCAGTTATTCATCACAAATCAGAAACTACCTGCTGAGTCATCTGTACCTGCTCCATTCTCTTTGGGGCAGTCTCCATGTGGAATTCTATCATAAGCAGAAAGGTGTGAAAGTTTGGGCTTCCTGGACAGCTGTTGGTGGGAGTTGGGTAAGGAGGCAGGTTCTGCATGCCCACGCAGACCTGCCTGCCATGGAGGCCTGGAGCCTGTAGGGTGTCGGCTTCCTGGCCCAAAAAGCTCAGTGTGTAAACAACCCCTCTTCTGTTAGTGAATTGATTTTTCAGATTTATTTATCAGACTGAAACTTATCTGGAATATGAAACAACACTAGAACACCCTGATTGAAGGCAAGTGTGTCCCAGGCCTTCTCACCCACTTTGTGTAGCTCCATTCTCGGGGTGCTAGGGCCCCTCCTTTGGGACTCTGTGTATTATCCACAGATGTTGCCCTTCCTGGGACACAGGATGAACCATGTGGATTCCAGGTAAAAGCTTCTAAACATTCAGAGATAGCATTAAATTTGAAAGGGAGCAGCAAAGAATCACAGCATGTATGTCCTAGCCTTAGAAATACTATTATGCTTTGAGCTGAGACACATCTCACATTGACAGCACCAATACAGCTTGATTTTAGGATTGTTGAGAATGTGGCCTCTAGCATCAGGTTACCTGAATTCAAAGGCTTTATTTACTCTTACCAGCTGTGTGGCTGTGATTGAGTTAATCAGCTTCACTGAGCTTTAGTCTCATCCTCATTTATGAAATGTAGGTAACATTTACCTCATAGGACCATTGAGAAAATACTTGAAATCCCTTATCTTAGTGTCTGATCCATTGTTTGTGTTCAATATATTTTTTAAAGATTTATTTATGCATACAAGAGCTGGGGTGCAAGGTAAAGATGTGGTGGGGAGAGTGGGGTGGTGAGAGGATTCACCAGAGACTGAGCGGGGAGCAGAACAGGCAGACGGACTGAAATACACTGGTGAGGGAAGCAGCGGGCAAGACAGGAGAGGTCTGCTGCACCATGTGGGTTACTCCTTGGCTGGGGATCGAACTCGTGCTGCAGTGACTGCGAATTCCATCATAGTGCTGTGTCTTAACCCCTTGCCCCACCAGGGAGGCCCCAAAATTTTTTTTAAAGATTTATTTATTTATTTATACAAGTACTGGGTACAGTCAGAAGTGCGGGAGGGTTAGAGAATTCACCAGAGCCAGAGCGGGGAACAGAACAGGCAGACTGACGAAATATAATGCTGAGGGGAGCAGCGGGCATGGCAGGAGAGGTCTGAGCGCCATATGGGACCCTCTCTGGTGGCCAGGGATTGAGCCGGTGCTGCAGAGGCTGCGGGCAGCTTCCCAGCCCAGCGCTCAACTGCTGCGCCACCAGGGGAGGCCCCCCAATTTTTTTTATTACTATTGATATTAATTACTTTTCTACAAAAACCTTAGTTCCCATAACCAAAATGGAAGTTTTAGATCTTATTCCTTAGGAGAAAGAAAAAGAGAAAGAATAAACAGGTTAGGTTCCAATGTATGAAGTCTTAACACTAAGAAGAAACTTCAAGGATTTGCCGCTGCACAAAAGAAATCCAAATCGATTCTGAAACTTTTATGGTTAATAACCATGGTAGCAAGTGATTCTTTTCAGGAAATTGGCCTCAGGTTCAATGTCAGATGAAGAGGCTTGGACTGTATTAAGTAACAGGAGAAAAATAATATGAATTAGCTGAGTGAAAACCTCTAGAAATCTCAGGGCTCTTTCGAAACGGAGAAATACATCCATAATGAGGAGGTCTGCACAGATAACAGAATGGGTCCTAATGATAAGAACATTCTGAGCTCTTGCTACCCAGGAAAATTTTAGTCAGTGTGTCATCACATTCAAATAGTGAGCTACCCTGCGGCAGAGGCCTCCAGGGGATGGTAGGAGATGTCGAGGAGCCCATCTGTCTTCGGTGACCGGGCCCAGATGTTGCCTTTGGAGATTTTTGAAGGAATAGCACAAAGGGAGAAGGGAACGATCTGTCTGCGAAAGCACAGACCTTAGCATCACCCCCGATGAAAATGAACTCAGAATCTAGCCGTTTTTATTAGGAACAAATGGAAAAAAACCTTCTGGCATCAGTATCCGTTTGTCACCTGCAGACTCGGGAAAACCATGTTTGAAATAAAAATGTTAAGCAGTCTCCAGTGGTTTCTGAAGTGGGATGTAACCATTACAATGATAAATTGTTATTTTTCTATGATACACATTTTTATCTTGCCCTAGAAATAACATTTCTGAAGCATGGTCCTTTCTGAACCCCTAAGGGTACCAATTCCTAAAAAATAAGGAGAAACTAAGCACTTTTATTAAATAAATTACATGTACCATTTCCAGCTCCATGCAGAATTGTCTTTTCATTTTCTCTTTCGCAAAGCTTATGAGTAGTTCTCATTATGTGCATGAGGTCCCTTTTCTGGTTCTTAATAAAGTGACTAATAATTTAGAATGTTCTCATGAAGAACAGGTTATAATTATAATTAGGATATATAAATAGTGTGGATTTCTGACTGTTGGAGGATGAATTTCAGACTCCTCTCAAGATGTATTTGTTTCCAAACAAGACTTCCTTTGTTAATAAAAATGTGATCGCAGGCATTATTAATGCATTATTTCTGTATTCTATCCATGAGTGCTTGTTTGAATATTCTTCATAGGATCAGCATTTTCCTCCCTGTTGTTAATGGGGCTATCCTTTATACCAACTACATTCACCTTGATTTAGTTGTAGCTTTGGCATTCATCTTCTAGGAAATTATGGGAATATACTTCCCACCTACTTGAATGTACAGCACATTATGCAAGCTTAGAAAAGTGAAATGCCACAACTCATCTCAAAGTCCCATGAGGGTTTCGGTGTTTTTCACTCCCTTACACTCAACTGCAGAAGTCCACCAAGTTGGCGGGTGGAACCAGAAGTCAAAAGCCAACACATCTTGTTTTTTGAATAACTGGATTCCA